AAGTATGTTGAAAAAAAAAAACATTTTCGGAAAATTTGAATACATCATTAAAAATCAGTTACTTTCATCAAAAAGGTTTTAAAAATATTTTTATGTATTTTATTATTTATATAATATAGAAAGATAAAAATCGATTTTTTGTAAATTTTATTTTTTTTAACGTGTGTAAGAAAATTTATTTAAAAAAATGTATCTATTTTAAACTATATTACAACATTTTCAAAGCTTATCAAAATCGGAGAAAGAGACTTAAAATCTTCTTTGTTACAATAGATCATATGGCAATATTATAAATTTCTCTAGTAAAGCGTAATATTTTTCTATTTTGAAAAATAGAGACATAATATTTACGTACAGTAGAAAATTTTGGAAAAATCCTTTGCGCATCGGGTTCCATGTACCCACGCGATCTGCCGATTTTCTGCTTTGCAATACGTTCTTTCATACAAACATTCTTAATATATTCTGCCCATATGGTAACGAGATTTAACGGGAATGGGGCTGTTCTTGTTCTAAAACAAGAATCAGAATAATATTACAGTAAAAGTTTACAAATTTAAATAAAAGCGCATAAGAAATTGCACACTTTAAGTTTTACACGAAAGTTTGATGAAAAAATTATATCATTCCTTTACTTTAAAAATGATATAACTAAACAAATTACGTTTTTTTTTTTAGAAAAGAATTATTTTTCAACTTTAAATAGAAAATTATTGACTAAGTAAATAATATCGGCAAAAAGAATATACTCTTAGAGATGATCGATCAAATGTCATTTTTGTTATTTTTGTTTCACAATTCTTAAAAAAAATCATTTTTTTTTAATTGTAACGATTTCGATATCCTACAAAATTACAACAAATTCATAATAATTCATCAAAAGTGACATAACTCAAAATATCATCAATGGTTTATCTTGATCTATTTCTTATCAATAGTTCACCTTAATCTAATAAAAGCGTAGTTGCAAAATTCATTTACTGTGCTGAAGATATAAAAATCAAAGATTTAATACTTTTGTGTCCGCAAAGAGATTTTATTCTTTTTTATAATCGTGTTACTTACTTTTGCATCTTACGAATTAGTTTGCTGAGACCGTATTTCCATTCGATGTCACTCTGTGATTGAATATTGTGATATGTATCGGTCATCATAGCAATTAATAGATTAATCAATACTATGACACTGACGAGCATGTATAATGAGAATGACACCTTGAAACAAAAAACATTTATTAAATTCTAACATATAAAAAAATAACATATATAGATAATCATATTATTTACTGAAAAAATCACCTTAAAAAAATAAAGCGTCCACGTTGGTTGCTGCTTCTGGTTTAATGAAAAGTGTTCGGTACCTTTTTGGCCGAAAATGGCGAAGAAAAGATTCTCCGTGATTTCGACCGCATTAACTGCAACTGTACAGACAGAGAAAAAGAATAAGTTAAAAAAATCTCGAAGGTTGTATTCAGTACTATAATCGCTCAATAAGTGGCTAAGTAGTAATTTAATGTAATTAGATCTAAAGATAAAAACTAATGACATTGAGTGGCTACTTAGCCGCTTAATGAGCAATTATAATACTACAGCACATTGTTACGTGAATCCAAATATTGTTGTATCCATCTATATTTTATTAGAAATCATAGCAATTGAATTAGTTGTATATTCCTACGCTAATACAGCGGTGTAGTATAATTGAGGCAAAGTGTAACTAATAGTCTAATATTTTAGTCATTGCAGTTAAGTAATTGCAAATTTCGGACTACACCACTGCTGATACAAAATGATTTGGTGTTATTCTATTCGTTGTTATTCTGATTACAAGCAGAAAAAATCATATTTACAGATCTTGGAGTATTAAAAATTGTAGAAATTCATGCTGAAACGATGATCAATTATCCTAATCTTCGTTCAAAAATTGACAATCAATTAGAAGGAAAGTCAACGGGCTTTGTAAAACCTAAAACATGCGATGGACTGAGCAGCGTATTTCAAAAGATTTCGATGAGCGAACACTGAATAATAAATTGTAAAGAGATGAATGTCTATATTTGATGTATCGATGAAAAATTTTTTAAACGCATTTACAAATGCAAGATGGATGCGATGAATGTGGCTTGCAATGTGAGAATTGTACTTCGATTCGCTTTTATGCACTTTGCAAAAAATAGAAAAATTAAAAGGAATTGAAAACTTATTCTCTGTAAATTATGAATTCCTAATCTATGAAATCAAGAATAGGTTTTAGAATCATTGAATTTCTTTTTTCTATCAGTATTTACGTATTTTATAGTTATGGAAGTTAATTAAAATAATTGGAAATTAAAAAGAAATTAATTCCATAGATTATATTAAATTATTTTTTAATTTAAAAATTGCGCGGATATTTACGCATTGCGAGTCCGTAGAATGCAAACTAATAATAAAAGTACATCAATATTATAACTTTCCATTCAACGATATAACACATATTATAACAGTTACATTATTGAGTAAGAAATTATAACTTTGATGTAATATTATAAGTATGTATTCAGCGGAAATAGATAAAAGTGAATTCAAAACTAAACTTCTAAACTAAATCCTGATTTAAAAAATGAAGTATTCGTTATACAGAGAAAAATCTCTTTTATCGAATTTGCTTTAATTTAACTATTTCTTTTTACAGAGTGAGCATTTATAGTGCGTGCCAGTCGAACTTTACAATGTGCGAATGATCGAGAGGTGAATCCTGTAGACACGTTCAATTTCGATTGACGTATTAATGAATGTACATGCTACATATCAAATTTGTGTATAAATATAATATGTATAATGATGATGTGAGCTTCGAATTCTAATATGGCGATATTACATAGATCCTACAAATATGTGTATCGGGCGCGACGATATATTACACGAAAATATCATGAGCAACATGATGCAGGCATAATGATCGGTGCGTGCATCGTTGCAACAGAGCCATTACGCAATTACGCTCTATTGATATAATGTATAAGGTATATATAGATATATTATACATATAATCAAAAACATTCTAGGTGGAAAGAGAATTTGATAATTAAATAATGTTGATGACTAACCGTCAAACGTGACGTGGAACGATTCCTATGCATACGGGTATTCCCCATGGTAGTCTCTAAAATGTGTTATATAGTAATCAATTAGACTATGGATCACAAGGAGCATAGGTTTGCTAGCTAACAATAACTGTACAGGCGATACAAAGTCGAGCTTAGACGTTTATTTCGAAAATACTGATAAGGTCCTCCGTATACGCCTCGCGGCGATGTATGTACAAATAAACGCAACCGAGCGCATTAAATGCGGTGAATCTGCGAAAATAGGAAGAGCTTTGATCTCTCTTTTTTTTCTCTCTCTTTCTCTCTCTTCCATGAGAGTTATATAATGTATTGTCGATGGTTGTCTTCAACATTTCCTCCTCGTTCAAGCTCCAAGCCCAAGCCTCGATTTTTCGGCAGTATCCGGCGGGCCTTCCAAAATCGCCAATGGATTATCTGTCGACTCCTTGTTCTCTTCGACCAGTTTCTCCTCGATCTTCTCGCCGTAAAGATCTCTGTATTTGCGCCTGACAACTTCCCAGTCGACCACGTTGTCGATCTTGACGATATTGCGGAAGGACAATTGACTGCCGAGAGGACTCAGGTGAGCTACTGATAAAGCGACGCTATCCTTGTGTCCCACTTGTGAAGTCTTCTTTATCTTAGACAGCCATTTAGCTCCCATCTTGGAGCGAGGGGACATGCGGGGACCCATCAGGTGCATCAGAGAAGGTCGTTCTTTCTTTTTGGTCAGGCGTTTCTTGCAAAGTTTGACGAAATACGTGATCCACGTGGACAGGAGGTTCAGCGGAGATGGTGCCGTAGTGGTCCTGTCGTATATTGAAAATTCGATCTATTAGTGCGATAAATGATATACAATAAATGGTGCTTTCATGCGACATGCAACAACCTACCGTTTCTTCTTTTTTTTTTTATTACACGAAGATGTAACAATTTTGCTGAAGTATCTAAAAATTTAACTAGATATAGATCTGAAAACAATTTTGTTCGACCATCAAAATAATATAGGAACCTCAGGCATAATAAATAACGAGCAATGCTGTAAAAAGTTTTGACATTCTAGCAACCAGTAGCTTAAGCGTCCTACACATTTATTTTATGTTTATTAAATTATTTTATTTGATATTTACACACGCACACGCGCACACACACACACACACACACACACACACACACACACACACACACATGTATACAATTTTATATTTATACATATAATTATTTATACATGAAACAAAATTATTTTTAAATCTGTATCTAGTTAAATTTTTAGATACTTCAGCGAAGCCATTCTTTCCGTGTAACTTTTTCTTCCTCGGTACGTCTTATTACCTATGCATATTTCGAACGAGCTTGCTCAATCCGTATTTCCACTCGATGTCCGACTGTGCTTGTATTCGCTGGTAGGTATCGCTCATCATAGCGATCAGGAGATTAATAAGCACCACCACCGACACCAACATGTAAATGCCGAAGGCGATCTTGAAGAGGGCGGTAGTCCATTTGGGCTGCGTCGGTTCTACCTTGAATTCTCCGTGTGTCGTCTGACCGAAGATGGCGAAGAACAACAACTCGACTGCGAGTATGGGATTCATCCTAACTGCAAATACGCGTTAAACAACGTGTCTCGTAAGGTGTTTTGTATATATGCGCGTAGACGAATGCAAAAGTTCTCTGCCACTGCGCAGAACATGCTAAACGTTGCCACTACCAAACGTCGCAAAGAGGATCGATTCAAGCCATACAGGATATGCTGCGACTCGTACGAATTCCTCATTTTTGCCTGTCGTTAGAAAAAGTCCAAAGCGCCTAAGAAAAATGCGCTTTTGTCTAACGAATTTCTAATTTTAAGCGCATGAAACATAAAAGAAACTAGAGGAGACTTGCGATGTATATTACGTGCAATATATATATACTTGTAGAAAAATACTATTGGATTATAAAAAAACCATTGAAACGCGTGTACATGTATAATATTCTATTCGAATAGTTTTTCAATTATTTCCAATCGTTCTTTCGTGAATCCAATATTATTTTTCCATAAGGGAATTATCCCGAATATTACTAATATTTAAAGGACATTCCAGATAGCAGGCATTGTCTAGAAAACCTCTTTACGTTTTTTTAAATTTCTTTTAGATATCTTTATGACGTCTTTATGAAGTCTTTTAGACATGCATGCAGTCTGGGATTTAATAAAGAGACTTTTAGATAGATGTGCCTTTAGACATTTGCAATATCAGGAATATTTTCATTATGAACCGTCCATGTAAATGTTAGTTAAAGTTAATAGACTTAAGATGTTTTTTTTTTATTTTGTCTTTCTACGAAAACATTTACAAATTCAATCAAACCATCTCATTTAACTTTAATTAATGTTTACAGCAACGGCTCTCTAATGGAAAATATCGTCGCAATGAATCAATCGAGAGGTACAATCTGCATCCTACGGATGATAACGCGCTATGGTGTCGCGGATGAATGATCCAACATTCAATGAAACATCGAGAGCGAGCATGTGACGGGGATTCGTGACAATTTGGCATTCGCAGGCATCATCCGGTCGTGCCATGTGACGGAGAGGGTATAATGTGTTCGGCGGAATTGGCCCATTCTCATATATCTCACAAACAACATCAATTATATGCGTTCCTACGAGATTCACGTATCATACGTCGAGAGACGCGTACTTACTTAGATGATTAAATGCTCGACCGGTCGCCGGTGCGCCGAGGATCGCGCGGGGATCCTCTATGATGATCTCGCTCGATCGTCTGAGAGTCTGTGTCTGCGGTAGCGGTTTACGATTTAAATAGTGTTCGTGGAAGGTGAATATCTTTAGCGCACTTAATCTGTCGCTAAATCTGTCTGTCTAGTAAGTAATACTGAGCACGGTAGTACGATGGCCGACGGTATCTTAATCGCTCGTTTGCTCGTTTTTCGCGGGAACTCGACAAATAGCTTTGGTCGAAAACTAGCAAAGGGCGACGATAAATCTTTTATGTTGGCGGATTCGAGACTGTCGCTGGTATCGTCGAAGCGTTGGATGCTGTCGGTCCGTTTTCATCTTCGTTCTCATCCCCGTTGCTCTTTTCTTCCTTCTCCTCCTCCTTCTCGGGCTCGTTTCCAGTTAGGATGAGATACTTCTTCCTGATCGCGTCCCAATCCACTACGTTCTCTATTCTGGTCGCGCTATTGAAGGACAGCTGGCTGCCCAGCGGGCTGAGATGCACCACGGAGAGGGTCACGCTATCCTTTGGACGGACCTGACCTTTTTTAACCTTGGCCAACCATTTTGCGCCCATCTTGGACCTGGGCGATAAACGGCTGGCACGCCCGAATCCCATCATGTGCACCAACGAGGGTCGCTTGCGCTTAGCGGTGCGCTGCTTACACAACTTGATGAAGTACACGGTCCAGGTGGTGAGCAAATTTAGCGGGGACGGAGCTGTAGTAGTTCTGTAACACGCAATTCGCGTTTCCAACACGCGGAATGCTCCGTTAACCCCCGAATAGCTTAACAGCGAGTTACTTAAGAGACCGGTCGAGACCGCGAGACATACGCAGGCTGTACGTAAAAGCATGTAAAAGCGAACGGCATTGCAACGATTCGTCTTGTAAATGCGAGAGCGCGTCGCTTGAAAGTAATATAATTCTATTTATATATTGTACATTGATGTTCCGACCAAACGTGGAAAAAGATAATCGAGCATGCTATTTCGGTCGGATCGCGTCAGTTATCTAGCGGTTTATCATATAGCGGATTATTATCGCACTTATATTCGGAGTCGTAAAAGGTCGCAGGCTTACCTGTGCATGTTTCGGATCAGTTTACTGAGTCCGTATTTCCACTCAATGTCCGACTGCGCCTGTATCCGTTGATAAGTGTCGCTCATCATGGCGATCAGCAGATTAATCAACACCACTACCGAGACCAACATGTACACTCCGAAGGTCAACTTGAAGAGGACCGAGGTCCACTGCGGCTGATTGGTCTCGACCTTCAGCTCGCCGTGGGTCGTTTGGCCGAAGACGGCGAAGAATAGATACTCGAAGGCGAGTACCGGATTCATCTTTACTGGAATTACGAGGCACATACACACACACACACAAGACGTTTCTTGGTAGCTCTAAAGGCTTTTTCGTTCTCTTTTTTTTTATAGCTCATTGCTTCGTGCCATTACAGGCTACTACTGGTGGATACTCGCTATTTAGTATTACAAATGCGCATGTGAGTATTCCATAAGGTACGTAACGATCGAGCGAGCGAGCGAGCGAGCGAACGAACAAACGGAATGAACATGCTCATGCATATCTTTTATATAGACTCTGGCCATGCTCTGCAGCTGCGGCTGCGGACTAACGCCGAATGCATGCCATGAATATCTTATTGCAGGCTGCTGTTCATCGTCGAGTACGTACTGTCACTCGTCTTCTCAGCCTCGTCGCTCTAATTCGTCTTGCATTTACATCTGAGAATTACTCAGATGTAATTGCGCTTCCCTTTTTTATTTTTTTTTTCTTTCTTTTTTTTTTCTCTTTGTCGTCCCGCGCTAAAAGATACTCGCGACGATGAGGTTCTATCGTTGGACCGGCGCGTTTCTAGGACGCGCGACGAGCCCAGCGATGCATCTCGCTAATCGGGGGATGCATCCCGACGCCGGTACGCCTTTTCTCGAGGGTACTAGTGATCAAACAATGGGGGTCATTCCTCGTGCGTTTCCATGCTGAATGAGAAAGAGAGGAGGGCGTGGGGTGGACGATTTTGAAACGTATCGCGCGATACGTTTGCAGTGGATAAAAAGGATGCGACATGCAGCTCGAAGATGCGCACCCTCCTCCTTGCTTGTCTGACTTGCACGAGTCCAAAGGCGGACGCGACGCGTCGCGCAAAATTTATTTGCATGCAAAGACACGGAGGATGGAAAGGTCCTTTTTCGTGCTAGTCACGGTCCGCTGATAAGAGGAAAAAAAAAAAGAAAAGAAAAAAAGGGGGAAACGCGCGGAGGGAACGATTTTTTTAGGGATATGGGACATTCCGTAAAATCGATCGAGTCACATAAAAAAATGACCGTGCGATGGATGCACATCATGAATTGCATACAACATCGTCCACTAGCATAAACACGATTCTAGCAACTTACAATAATTACAGATATATGATGTAGGTACAGAGAAAACACGCACGTACATACACATATATGTGTGTGTGTGTGTGTGCGTTCATGTATGTATAATACATATACAGGACACATACGTACAGGCGAGACACGGGGATGCACACGGGCAGAGGCTGTGAAAGAAACACGAGCACATATGCTCCGGCAATAACTCTAATCGACAGCTAATCAAATTGCATGGACAGGAACGTCGTTCTCCGAGCTTTCAGATTAATTTTATAAATATTCGTTCGGTACGCTGCGATACGGACGCTTCTCTCCAATCCGCGAACGGATCTGAAGCGAGTAGGAGCATAAAAAGGTTTTTTAAATTTTGCAATTACAGCAATAATCATGGGCGTAGCCAGGATTTCAAAGGTAGCAAAGATTTATTTTCACACCAAATTTATTAAAGCACTTATAAAGCCAGTCCTCGAGAATCTTCAGTAAATTTTCTAAATATTTTTAAAAATATTTCTAGTTTTATTGTAAAAATGATTTTCATAATTTAATATAGTTTCTCCTTTCAAAAATTTAAGAAGAAAGGCAAACGCTCCCTGCCCCGCCTTGCGTACGCCCATAGCAGTAATTAATAAATGGTTGCTGCACTGGAGTGCTTTAAATGATTGCAGTAATGTTTATTATACAAGGGAGATATATCATTCTCAGCAAATTCTCCATCAGATCGTTTTCGCTTCAATCTTTTTACCGTTGCCTCCGAATCACAGCATACAACGCGACAAGAAGAACATCCGATTTTGCGTGTATTTTTTTCCGGTTCTCTCGTTTGTTTTCTTTTCTTTCGCTTCGTCATATCAGGCAGCAGTCTCAGCAGACAACACACACTGGCCAAATGCACGATGCAGACGAGACGACACCGAGATGGATCGTGTCCCGCATTCAGTTTCACGTGCGCGATTTTTGTTCCGATTTGCTTTCCGCGCTCGGGTTGCTTCTGATTAATCGTTCTCAACCAGCTGAAAACTTACAATCTCTGCTGTTATCGTCACAGCACTCATTCTTTTTCTTGTAGCGGCCGGTGCGACGAGGAGGCGCCGTTGGTGGCGTCTCCATCATCCATTCCGTAACATTGGCCAACAAATCTATCATTGTAATTCAGTCGATTATGATTCTGTATCGCTCCGCATGTCTCTGAGTATGATCGACATGAAGTAGACCTACTTTGGGATTTTTTGATAAATGACAATTAAGATATCTCTAAACGCGCGCAAACTTGACCGCAACGAGACAATGATTTTCGAAGTAGGAATAAATTTTTCAATTGGAGGGACGGGAAGCGAAGGAGGGTAAACGTTTAATTGTTTCTGCATATAAATTACGCGCCGAGTAACACAGTTGGTTACAATTTCGATGAGTTTAATTTCCGATTCCGTATAATATTGAAATCTAAATTCATCGAAATTGTACTCACGTAGTTCTGCAACTCCTGACGTAAACTAACGCAAGAGTGGAAATACGCGATTGCATACCGTTATCTCGGTACCCACGCGAATTAGCACCTGCGTGGGCGAAAGCACTGTCTACGTCCTGTTAATGGAAACCAGTACCGCGCGTCGAAGCGATTGCCAATCTAAGATCTAGCCCTACGTAGGTATCTACATAATGTATCTACGGTACATGTCGTATCTACAGTACGTGTGCGCGTATATGTATACATATCCTATAGACGGAACTGTAAAAAATCAATTAACTGCGCCACTAGCTCTGGATTGGCGTCAAGGCACATAGTAAGAGAAAAAGAGAGAAAGAGAGAAAAATACGGGGGTGGCGCACGAAATGTCATATTACAATGGAACTTCCGTAACTTCTATTACGCAGGGCTGTGAAAAGTTACAGATGTTCTCCTCATTCTTACATTACGAGCGGAGCATTAAAAAGAGTATTACAGATAGTGAGAACGTTTTGCACAGATGCCAAAGTAACATAACTTATTTTAACACTGAAAATTTTTATACACATCATGTACATATGTGGAAGGGGAAATGAAGAAGTTAGTTCCCTATCTTCAGAATACTGAAGTTAGCGCGAAGTTCCACTATAATTTGATTTATATATTTATTGTTAATAAAATTGCACCCGGTAAAAAATTGTTCATGCATGAATATGTATAAATGAATATGTATATAAACATTATAAATATATATAAATATTCATAAATGTATAATTATACATGAAATATACCTATGCATGTTCATATGGTACATCCCTCTTTCTTTTGTAAAATTACTTTTTAGTGTAACATAAATAATAATAGTAATGTGATAATATTAAAAATAATTGAAAGGGTAATTTTCACACTATTTGTTTTAGAAAAAATCAAATTTGAAGAAATGTAAAAAAATTATTTATATAGTTATATAATATTATATAATTATACAATAAAAGTATGCATAATTGTGTATGAGCAACTTTTTTACATTTTTCAAAACATATGATTATACACGTTTATGACGTATATTTATGCATGTTATATTCATGCATAAACAATTTTTTACCGGGTGGTATAGAACTGATCAATCATCAACCTGATTTCTGAATGTCAGCCTCTTCCAACTTTTTCCATTATACATGGTCTTTGGAAGGAAGAAATTTGGCATTCAAACGCCATGCGTGTTGATAAATGTACATATATCCACTGATATATGAAAGTATAGGACTTACAGTTTTTAACATCGGATCCGAACAGCGCTGATGCTTAAAGATCTCTTTAATCACCAAATGGAGACATTTTTAGCTCCTTAAAAGTGAAAAATCGCATATGTGGCCGCAGGTGGGATTGAATCCGAATCTATAGATCGCGAGTCAGTCGCACCCAGCGGCAAGCTACTCGACGCCTGATAGAACTGATATAGAATTGGTTATCAAAGCATTGAAAATTGAATAATTAAATGGTATTACATTTCATGCGCCACCTTATAGATAGAAAGAGAAAAAAGAGAGGGAAGAAAAAAGACTGAAGAAGGAGAGGATTGGAAGACTGAAGAAATGAGAGTGACATATTTCGAACTTACCGTCGGAAAATGCGTCCCTATGTTTTCTGGCCTCAGCGAGCGCCTCTTGTGACGTTTTGTAGTTCTTGAACGCCTGATTAAGCGCGACGAAGTGCATGGAGAAACCGAAGACGAAGATCGCTAGCACCGCGAGGAACCTCGCGAGATCCTTCATAAGATTACCGATGATGATGGCCCATGGTCCAAACAGATGGTGAAACGACAGAAAGTCCAGGATCTGCACGCAAGCTAAAAGGAAACTGAGAGCAAAAAGCTGGTTTCTCAGGTAGAGGAGAGTCGGCCAGTATTGTCTTTCGACAATTACGAATCCCATTAGGTGAAACGCAACGCCGAATATGCCGAAGAGCAGCACCGCCAGCTTGATCCAGCCAAGGCCGCTCTTGTCACTGGGATTCGTCAGTTCGAATAGCAATAGTCCTGATAGCATCACCAGCAGGCACCACTCGTACCAATACGGTATCAGGTTGATTCTGTTCACCACTGGATAGACCGGTGTGATGCCGACCAGCAATAGAAAGACCATCAGGTAGATGTGCGACGTGAGATACGACATGAACTTGATGATGGGTACGTTATTGTACTTGTGGCCGAGCGGAAGGGCGAACACCACCCAGACCGGCGGGCACACGATGAAGGCAATGAACAGCAGGATCGTTCTGAACGCGTTCCAATTTAGGCTACCTTGCCATAGCTCTTGGAGGTAACGCTGCACCACGGTGTGCGCGATCACCTCTTTCTGTTCATTCTCAATCAACACGTCCAAGAACTCGACATTCCTGCGATCCATCGACGTCAAGATCCTGCCGGCCGAGTCGGCGCCCGCCGCTAAAGCCAGCAATTCGGTGGCCATTGCTTCGCACTGTTTCCCGGCCGCAATTAAATCCTTAGCACGCTCTTTTTCTTTTTCAGAGAGCTTTATGTAGATGTTGGATAATTTCGCCGCAGTGTCGACTGGCGCGGGTGACACCAAAACGAATTCTTCTATCGGTTTGTTGTTATGGCTTTTGCTGCAGACCATCATATTGTAGACGAACTGTAAATGTAATAGTTTGAAAAGTTAATAAGAAATTAACACGAGAAAATGGTAAGTTCCTGCAATTCCGTGTTCTGGATATGTGTTGTGATCTATTATTTGTCTGCATCAAATCTGAGACAGATAATTTTATGATGCACATAAATTTATGTAGATTATTATTTAAAATTTTATGCTCTTTTTAAATAAAATTATCATCGCGCTTAAAGACTTCAAAATTATATTACGATTGATTTTTTAAGATTAATGATACTTTAAATTTTCATGATAAATATAAATATTCTCGTGTTTTATAAATGTAGTGACTTTATTAAATCGATATTCTGATTAGCTATTGTGAAACCTACTTTTAAATAATAAAGGTAAAGTTTTACGTAATGTAATTGCGGAATTTTATGTGACAATGTTTCTCGTCTCGTTTCAAAATTATTTGAACTACACATGCATTATCAATAAATTTTCGTCTACAAAACCGACTTAATTCTCTTTGCGTGCGTATCTAACATTAAAGAGCAAATTCCTTATTTTGGCCTCGAAATGTATAAAGTTTCCAAATGTTGTCTTTTAATCTCACGAAATATATACATATATATATAAAACATGAAGAATATTTTTAAACCGCAGAAAATATTTTATAGATAAACATCCTTTCATATAAAAAAGAAAAATTTTGAAAAACAAACGATTTTATTAGATTTTATAAGCAATTATTTTTTTATAATTTTTCTATAACTTTTTCATATCATGTGAAATAAAAAAATGATAATTTACAAATTTGTAGTTAAAAAATGTAACATTTGAGAAGTTCTTATTCTAAGAAATTTTATTACTTTAGAGAGTTCCCCTTATCAGAGCGGATATCTTACCCTCCTATCATCCATCAGAGCATACGTATCGTGCTCCTTCTCCATAAGGTATTTCAACACATCGTTGTGACCCTCGGAAGCGGCGAACCAGATCGGTGCGCAGCCGAGATTCGTCTCGGTTTTTGGAGACCCACCACTTTCCACAAGCAGCTTCACGACGTCCAAATGGCCGGCGCGTGCCGCACAATGCAGCGGTGTCCAACCGTTCTTATCAGTCGCGTTTATTTCCGCTCCCTGACCCAAAAGAACCTCTACCATCTGATAATGCCCGTGAGTTGCCGCGATGTGCAACCCGGTCTTGCCGTAACGATCCGAGCTATGCAATAATTCCGCTGATCTGCTCAACAGCAGACCCACGACGGTTATGTGACCACCGAAACAAGCCAGATGCAAAGGGTTCCAACCGTTTTCTGTTGTCGCTGCGTCTACCTTCGGTCAGAACATCCTCATATTCAATCAAAATGTTCAATGCGGCGGTTTAAATCCGTACATTGATCAATGTTGATCAATCTTGTTTCAACTTACTTTTTATCCTTTTCTAATTTTAAAAATGGAAAAAGGTAAAGAGCAAGTTAAACCGAGATTAAAGTTAATTTTCATTAGTAGAATATTAAGAATATTAGAATTAGGAAAAGATAAAAAAGTAAATTAAAACAAGATTAAAATTAATCATATATATTAGTGTAGAATGGCCGATTAATCTGTCTTTTTAATAACTTGTACAAACTAACGTAAACGTAACTACATTTTTTTCACTTTTCTCAAATCTTTAGAAATAAAAAATAGTACAAGTGTTATTTAATTTTTATGAAGATCATCGTCTTAAAATGTACATACATTTTTAAAAATATTTTTTACAAAAAGAATATGTTCCGAATGTGTTATAAATTAAGATTAGATAAATTCGGTTATGATATCATTTCTAATATAATTTGTCATAGAAGTCGTACCTGAACCCCCGCAGAATTGAGAAGAAGTCGTACGACGTTCTCGTTTCCAGAATAGGCAGCCAAATGAAGAGGAGTCATGCCGGATTCAGCCCCTAATTCTCCTACTAAAGATCCTCCGGTCGGTGGATCGGATTTCACAGTTCCAGGTATATGAGTGAGCAGTTCTCTAACCGTATCTAGAATCAAAATCAATTTTTTTTACAATAAAAAAATATAAAGAGATTATGAGAAGTACAATTAAAGGTACATTATTTTATTAAAACACATATTTAACTGCTTTTAAAATGATTTTTAAAAAAATAATGATGACAAATATATACATCTTAATACATTCAAATTTAATGATAGCTTCTCTCTAATTATATTTCACCATTAATATTTGTCATTAATTAGTTATAATTTATACATAAATACAATTATGCATGAATTATGTATAGATATTATACATTATTAACGATAATATCGAACGATATTCATATTGTTTAATGACAATCATGACAATGTTGAAGTAATTAGAATCATAAAAAACACTAAATTTGAATTAGATATACCCGTTAATTTTTCATTAAAATCATTTTAAAGATATTTAGAATATCTATATCTATAAAATATCTTTCAATGCAATTTAATTTAAAAATATTCTTCATGTAACTCTGTTATGATGTAGGAAAATATTCATATAAAATTTGTTAATTTAATTTCTTTTACATTGCATAGAAACGATTTTATCGTCATTTTAGTCATTTTATAGATTATTACTATAATTACTAGTTTACAAAAAATATTTTTTTTTATTTTGAATCGGATGAAGTGTTTTTTAAAATAAATTTTTGATTGCTGAAAATGATACCACAAGTCAAATTTCATCAGCGCGTTTCCAAAATAATTGAGGTTTAATATACCAAAAAAATATTAATCAATTATTTCCTGCTGGAGAAATTTGCTGCATCGTTTTAGCTTACAGATCTTTTAGTTCTTAAATCTATAAGAAATATTTTGACTGGTTTGAAGTAATTTTTTTTCTGTAAAATATTATTATACAAAATTTTAAATTAGATACATTGTAAAGGCTCTAACAAATGAAATTCAAATTATCAAAACGTAAAAAGATTAATGAGCTAACCTTGTTGTTCGTACTATACAATATTTATATGTTTAAATACATACGAACGTTTCGACCTATTTACATCAGGTCATAATCAGTGTTAGATAAAACTATCGCTATCGGTTACGTAATTTAAGAAAAATGTGAGATTTCATAAGTTTTATGTATTGATTAAATAAATTGGCGGAGTAAATACCAAACCAATTCTTAATAAAGGAAAAAAATTTTAAATTGAATTACAATTATGATAACACTCCATAATAACAGCGTAAAATTAAATGTATGTTTTTATAACAAGCTTGATTCCTTAGTTTGTTTTACGTTTTGATAATTTGAATTTTATTTGTTGGAGCCTTTACATTGTATTTAATTTAAAATTTAGTTTTATAGCATTATTGAGCGTCATCATAATTTTAAGTTTTTCTGCTTTATTAAAAATCGATTTGGTACTTATTCTGCCTATTTACTTAATTAACACATAAAACTTATGGAATCTCATATAAATCAGTAGCGATAGTTTTATCACACCGATGACCTGATGTAAAAAAGTCGAAATGTTTGTATGTATTTAAACATATAAATTGTGTAGCACGATCAATAAGCTTGGTTCCTTAGCCTTTTGACGTTTTAATAATTTGAATGATAGTATACAATTGTTTTATAAGATTTTTACTCACCGGCTTGTCCAAAGTAAGCAGCAACGTGAAGTGCGGTAACGCCGAGCTTTTTGCTGGATATTCTAAGAGATTGCGTCGACCTCATAACTTCAAGTACCTGACCGTGGCCGTGTTGAGCCGCCAGGTGAACAGCAGTGAAACCCGCGCGATTCTCGTCAGCGCAGGATGCGCCGGCCCTAACTAGAGCCTTCACGACTTCAGCGTGTCCACCTTCCGCTGCCAGTTGCAGAGGAGTCGCTTCGGTCAGTTTATTCCTAGCAGATATCACACCCTGCCTATCGAACTTCATCAGTTCTTCGATCACCCGGACGCTGCCTTGCATGGCAGCGATGTGAGCGCAAGTATTGCCATCCTTGGTGCAGGCCATCACGAGACTAGCGTGCCTCTGCAGAAAGAGCTGCGCCACTTCGGCGTAATTGTTCATAGCCGCAGCGTGAATTGGTTTTTGCCCCTGGTCGTCCGTGGCGTCTATACTGGCACCAAGTTCTAGAAGTAGTTTACAGACCTCTAACTGACCCGCTCCCGCTGCCAGATGAAGAGGAGTCTGCTTCCTCAAGGTAAGCACGTCTATCGCAGCGCCGTGATCCTGCACGAGGAAGCGTACCAAATGCGTGTAACCATTCATGGCTGCTAGATGCAGAGCAGTCCTTCCGACGCGCGACTTGGAGTTTATAAAGGCCTTGTTCGCCAGCAACGCGTCGCAGACTTGAAGGTAGCCGTGCTCAGCCGCTAGATGAAGAGCGGATCTACCCTCGAGATCGAACACATCCACCCTGCCGTGATTGGCGAGAAGCGTGGTCACCAGTTCCATGTGACCTCGATGAGCTGCGATTAACAACGGCGTCCAACCCACGGCGCTTTGCCGATTCAAGGCTTTTTGCACCTCCGTAGCTGGCATGCGACTGATCATCTCCGACAGAACCTCGTTATTGCCCGCGAGCGCGCAATGATGGAACGCCGATTCCTGGGCCTGTCTGGTTTGCAGAGAAACGTCCGCGCCACTGTCAAGAAGAGCGCGGACCACGGCGCGATCATCGCCGGGAGTGACGACTTCCGAGGGTTCGATTTGGGCAGCATAATGGAGCGCACTGGCACCTTCGTTAGTCAGACTGTTCACATAGGCGGTCGCCACTTCTGGACCCTTCTTTTCCTTCACGAATTCTATCAAGTGTTTGACCACATCAGCCCTGCAACCCCTACAGGCTAAATGCAAGGGTGTCTCTCCATTCTAAGCAAAAATAGGAATCTTTGAGTAAATAGAAATAATTTAACAGTTATCGTTTCGAGAAAATCATTGTATATGACATTTATTACGTAGAACATGATAAAAAAACAATATTTAATTTTTATTTTACTTATTGTTGAATATTTAACTTGTTTCATTACAATATTACATAGAGATTGTATTTTTATGAATTGGATCTTATTTCTTGTTTTATCGACGTACTTTTGATTTAAACATCGGATCTCCACCATCGTCGAGGAGCAAAAGAAGTGTCACTAAATTCCCATGGCTGGCTGCCACGTGCACAGGTGTTTGGCCATCATCAGTTGTCAAATTGGGACCTGCTCCAGATTTCAATAACATCAGAGCGCATCTGTCGCCATCGGGCACTCTGGCAGCTATGTGAAGTGGAGTTTCCCGAAGTTTTCCACCTCTCACGTGTACCTCTGCGCCATATCCTAGAAGAGTTTCCACGACAGCCGGTTTGGCACTTTCTACGGCTATATGGAGTGCCGTATAGTTATCGTTAGTTATCGCGTCCACCTGCATGGAAAAAAATAAGAGATTCCATACAATTTGGCATTTAAAGATGTACAGATATCTTAGTATTACTGTAACGCATTAAAAAGGATCACGTTGGTGTATTCATGAATTTTTATATCGGCATCTAATCATTATAAAAAATATTATTTTTACGTACTAATAACAGTCGGATCACATTGATAATCTATTTTCTTTTGATTTATTCTTGGAAGTATAATTTATTTAACGTTGTAAAATATCTTAAATTTGCATGAAAATTAAATTTGTTGAGCCATATATATATATCTGTGATAAAAATATTTTTAGAAAATAAAATGTATGTTCTAAAATCTAAAAGTAATATAGAAGATTAAACTTATAATATAGTTTTAGTTTTAAATAGCGACACTTATGTTTATGAGAAAAAAAATTAAATTTATATTTGTCAAAGTAATTATAATCGAAGAGCTATTCACATTAAGTATATCGAATGATATCATTCATTGTGGTAATAATAATTGTTTACCTTTTCTCCTCGTTGCAGCAGAGTGCTGATAATACCCACATGTCCGTATCCTGCAGCTGTATGAATAGATCTGGCACCACGTTTATTTGGCATGTGCAGATACACGCCCTTCTTAAAGAGCATAGTAGCACATTCCGAGTGACCGTTGAGCGATGCTATGTGCATCAAAGTGGAGCCGTCTTTCGTCCTTTCGAAGATACTTGCTTTAAATTTATCGGCCAGCAGCTCGATGACGGAAGCGTGGCCGTTCTCTGCAGCCAAATGCATTGGCGTTCGATCTTGATGATCGGTGATCGAGGCGGAGGCTCTGACACCGTAAAAATATTTTACTAAGGTTTCGTCACCTTCGGCGCTCGCTATGTGTAATGCAGTTTGCCCATCGCCCTGAAATACATGTTACATTTTTAGATAGCTATATATTTTAGGTAGTTATATATTTCTCAATAACATTACATACATTTTGTAAGTATTGCTGAATTTGATTGCAAATTTTATAAATTTTTATCTTAATTTTTATATCTCGATAATAAAATTTTATATCTTGGTAGAAAAATTATTACTTTTTTTTTTACCTTTATTACACTGCTAATGAAAGTTACTAATAAAAGTTAATAATTAAGCAGTGACTCTTATCATTTGTGTCCTCATAAATTTTTGTGACTCAATTAAAAGTCATTATATACATTATCGCGTAGTAAAAGTTGTAGCGAATCATAAAATTATAAGGGGAATGCAGTTACAATGAAATAATCTTTAAAGAAATTTAAAACTTTGTCGTAAATTTTACAACCGTCTTGTTCTCAATTATTTCTCATTTAGAAATATAACTTCGCAGTTACAGTAATTTATCATGTGCGTCACTTCTATTTCATGTACGATCGATCTTGTCAAATCTTGTACTCAATTTCTTTGCGGGGTCAAAATAGGTTGGAATAGAATTGGATAGTTAAAATATTTTAGCGTTTTACGCGTTATAATATAAATACTTTTGTAAGCTAACAATAAAATTCCATTAATTTTACCGGAAATTAATTAAACAATTATGTTATATCGTATATACATTCATATTTCGGAAATTCGAAATTGTTTACGCGTTCAAAAGATAAAAGAGATAAATGGTAATTTCCGACTGTCATAAAATCATAGAGAGGATAATTAAACGCGATATATAGCTTACCCAAATGCGAGGAAAATGATAAAAAGTTTGTAATGTATTTACATCGCGACGTATAATTTGCGAGTTTCGAAGCATTCGGGAGTATTATGTATATAATTGGCAAAGTTTCAACGGTATACCATCCGATTATTATCGGTTCAATTTCACTTTAGTTGGGATTTTCGTGCTTGGATTTAACGTACATTTTGCATGTCGACGGCCGCGCCATAATCCACCAGAATCCGCACCATGTCGATGTCTCTTCTCCTAGCAGCTAAATGCAGGGCAGAATCGCCGGCTGGCGTAGTAGCACGAAGCTGATCGGGTGCTTGCTGTGCTAAAAGTTCTCGGCACATTGACTGATTGCCAGCCTCGACAGCTAGCAGAAGAGGTATCTTTCCTTTCTGCAATTGGACAATAAAATTTAAAAAATTAAATATAGAACGATCTTTTCTTCGACTTTTTCTTGTACTGTACTCAAAGATAATTACATAATGTGGTGAAAAAGAAATAAGAAATTTGAAATATAAATATAAAAGGAAAATCTTTGAATTTTTATTAATCATCATTTATTTAAAAATGTAGTTTATCTAGGTAACCCACGAAGTGATGACTATTTTTAGAAAGTTTGATGCTTTGTTCCATTTTATAATTTTACTGCTCACATATCTAAAATACTTCTGAAACTTCAAGAATGTCAAATGTTTATGCCAGTTATAATAAAATGAAGAAAATAAATTTCACTACATTTTATAATTATTAATTACGGAAAGTGCTAGCAGAATCATAGAGATATTTATATGTAGGGACATTTTTACAAATAATTAATTAAATCCGGTGCATACAAATGCAGGAAAGATAAGGTCAATGATACGAGTCAATTAAGAAGATTAGAGATATATTTATTCTCAAATAGATATAAAGAAAAAATAATAAATTAATTATATCCTTTCCGACTATGTATACTATTGTCTCTTTCAGCATAAACTATAATCTTTAGGAAAGAGACAAAATCGTAAAATTGATTAAAATTAAAATTGATTGACTAATGTATTCAGAAAAAACATATTTTTACATTTTTTATTTTCTTAATTGATTCATTCGGTGCTTTCAGTTCTAAGTAACAATACGATGTGACTGATTCTTACCTTGTAGAGCTAACATCACATTAAATTACTACTTTTCTGCTTAGTGAGCAGTTGTAATATTCATACACTCATACACCCCCATTAATTTTCTTTATTCTTACTAATCCTTAGATAATACACACGACGATTTTCCACTCCTTTTATTACATATAATAGCTAGATCGTTCGTATTATGGATTGATTTTCATTACAAATATGCAAAAATCATTAAGTGATTTTTACATAAACATTAACATCTTTAAAATATATTATATTTATAAAATTGTATATTAAAAGAAGAGGATAGAAACAATTATGTAGCTCCTAGTAGTTTAAAGAAAAGAAATGCGCAGTATACAAATACTTCAATCGTGTATATTAAGGGTTAATATTTTGTACGAAGAAATATTTCGACAAGTATTAATACATGACACGAGAGTTTTTCGTGCTCATGTCAAATGCCTAAATATGCATCGGCTCGATATTCGATATAACATAAATCCTTGTTGTTTTTTTCCACACTGACGACGAGGCCGGACTCCTCCCCAATCTGTAGCTTCGTCGTACTATCGCGACGGGATTGTATGACAAAGGGCAAGGGAGACAGGGAGGAAAAAGCGAACTAGAGAAGAGTTATGGCGCCGTTCGGTACCAGGTAGCGATCTCTCGGCGCGCGGCACCTGTCACGCGAGAAACGCGGACGCGAAATGGGAGCATCGCGCCGCGGTTATTACAGAAAAATCTTTATCTTTGTCTAATTTGAAGTTTCGGGGCCGACATGGATCTCCTTATGGTGTCATACTATTAGCTCGTCCTGTTTATATTGAAAAGATCGACTCGACTGACAATATTGGATTCCTCAAACTGATGCATTTAATTAAGTTTTCATTTGCCCTTTATGCAGCTTTGTGAAATTATTTCGGGGATTGCTACTTACTCCGTCGACTTTTAACCTGATGTCGCGTCCAGCAGAACCCAAGAGAGCTCGTAGGATTGACGTAGCGGTGCCCGTTTGTCTTGATGCTACCAGATGAACCGCCGTTTGTTGTCTTGGCTACGAACAATACATGAATATATTTCAAGAAGTTGTGGATGTTTATTAAATATGATAATTTAAATAGAAAGTTTAATGTTCCATTCTAACGCTCGTCCATAATTCTCTTGTTATTCGTCTTGTTATATCGTAGAAATTAAGTAAAATAGCCAAAAGATCGAAACTTAAAATTCTAAAAACTGAAATCTAAAATTAATCGAAGAATCTATGACTAGGCAGATCGATTAAATCGTTTGTAATAATTCAAAGTAAACTCTTTTCTATAGAATACCAGGGTTTCAAAGTATAGTTTTAAATTATACAATTATTATTTTTGTTCCAAAATTGCTATAACTTTTTTTTACAAAAATAAAATTATTTATTCGTACCCCTCCTGTGGCATAAGGATCAACACCTCTCTTGGACAGCAATAATTTAACGACATCTTCTCTCGAATACATAGCAGCGATATGGAGAGCATTGTAATTATCCTGTAGAAAATATGTCAATAAAATGCATTTGGAAAGCAATGAATTGGTAGTAATCCACATATGAGACTAACATTATGGAAATATGTACAACGATAATGAAGCTATGAGTTTTGCTCTGCCGCACCCGTCGGGCGGACCCTTACGATGTTTCAGGTTTCGAGTTTCTGATCACGGTATATCAGCGTGCTATTTGAAAATTATATTGGAATCATTGTGGGAGCGGTAGATCGATAGTAGCGAGTATGCAACGCCTTGCACGTGTTTGCGAAGTGATGCTCTAACATAGTTAACAGCACGTCACTCATAACATAAGTAAAAAGGAGTAATATGAACCGTGCAGAAAGCAAGCTCTTCGCGCACTAGTGTAATAATAATTTTAATTACACGTATAATATCTGATCATATTTTTAAAGCTTTGCATATTTTTCTCAGAGAAGAAAATAATTATTACGTAATTTGGTGGGTTATCTCCGTAAACGATTTTACATCATTGAATTTTATTTATTTTAGACATATTAACATGTCATCTAATCAAGACTAAAAATAAATCAAATTTAATGATGTATCAAGACACAAAGATAACCCATAAACTGTTTGCATAGTTTCTTTAAATCATTACACACATTTCTCATTGATAAGAATTACTTCTCCGATTAATAAATCATTTATTAAATCAAATAGGAGAAGAATGGGAGAAAGAAAAGAATTATGGTCGGTTATTTAAATTACTTAATTAAAATCAGCATAGATTGTAATGTGTATGACTACATAAAAAGAACGGTTTTACTGGAATATTTAAACATTTAGCTAGATACACAGGACTAAAAATAATTTGGGTCATCAAAACAATTATGTAAGAATCTTGAGTATGATAAAAGATGCTGCAAAAAATGTTGATATTCCAGCAACCGCAGTTGCTAATCTAAGCTTATATTAGGTTAAGTAAAAAGTCATCGCGTTTTTTTAAAAGACATCTATCAGTAAAAACCGCAATTACTTTCTTACCAACAATATAAATATATCTTAATAGAGTAAAGTTTCAGCTTTAAAAATCTCTTTTTTAAATTATACGATACGACAATTTTTAATGGAGTTATGAGCAATTAAAGTCAAAATAATTCTTTTATTTAATCCGCGATAACTCAGTAATCAAAAGTCGTAGGAATATTTAAAAAAAACGATTTTGTAGGGAAAGTATCAAGCTTTCACGATATATAATCGAAAATTTTCTCAAATTCGTTTTGGACACGTTACAAATCCACAAAGTGAGAAGAAAATTTTTCGTCTTTTTCAGCTCGTAGTTTTTGGTATGTAAAAATTATCAAACTCATATAAACTTAAAAAATGTGATAAGCTTTTAAAAGTAGAGATTTCAAGCTTTAAAACCCTTTTTTAAAATTTGAATTTCATTCATTATTGACGAAGATATTGTATATACAACTTTGAGCTAAAAAATACGCGATGACTTTTTACTCAACCTAATATTATTTGATGATCCTACAGAATTAGTTTTAGACTGGTATCTGAATAGTTATGTATCTGAAAGCTAAATTTTGAAGAAAAATCGTTCTTGTGATCATAAGATGTTACATCACTGCGTGTGGTCATAAGATGTTACAACCTACGCCGAAGATTTGAAGTAACGCGACATTCCTTTCCTTTTCCCTTCTTCGTCCTAACGCGTAAGAACATTTGAAATCGATAAATTTTACTATAGAGTTCTTGCGATGGCGTTCTTAATGACTTTCAGAAAGTTGCACCGAGCGCGCTAAATAATTGAACTCCTGCCCGGGGTGTCAAACGTAGAATGCCGTTGCATAGGAGCCGTTGACGGGCAACTTTCAAGGTTCAACGATTAAATTTTTATCTACTTTTTGGATCGGACCCTTGTTCGTTATGGCTGATAGTTAGCTGACTCGGCGGCCTACTTATCCATTTACACAGGTGCCTGTCTTTGTCCAGTCGGTCAGTAAGCCCCTTGACCTTGTCTCTCCTTCACGCAATCTTTCCCTACCGACTTATAGTGACTCGACTTATTGTTAGCACAAATCGCGACCTGATCATTAGCTGTACACGTTTCGTGGCACGCGTCACCTTCGCGGGTGCTATTACGTGCCAGTGCCACGTAACCTCAGCACGAGAACTCAGCACTTATCGCGACGGCAATGAATCAAAGAACGATGAATCAAATGTTTTTACCTTGGTTTCTAATGGAATATCTCAAAAAACAATCATTCGCCCGGATATTTTTCTCACGAGTAATTTACATTTTACAAAGTAATTTATGTTTTCTTGAATTTGATTAAAGATGGACAAGTTTCTCGATTTATCAAATAATTCGTCTCATCTATCGTACAATACTTGCATTGTTTCTGGCGCCCACGTCGGATCCGAGCTCGATCATCCGATCAAGCAACGCGCTGCGATTGTCCTTCACTGCGTACATTAACGGCGTCATCCCCGTCGTCTACAAATAAAATATCTTTGCCTAAGAAAGTATATTTGTTGTGTAATTTTTTTATAATTGTTCGACCATCTCTAAAATTTCCTGTTAGTCTCCCGCAAATAGATTTAGTCAGCGGTACAAGGATGTATTTTACACATGGAAATGTTACTTTCGTAATTATTTCTAAATTTAAATTTGGTCTCTTTTGTGCCAGAAATATATCTTAATGATTTATCAGAAATATATCTTCACGCTCTGAGCAGTCTATTGAACTGGAAATTCATTACCAATTTCCATATATAAATGAAAGTTGTATACACACACTGAAAAAAAGAAATTTGTTCAACTAACTAAATTTTAATTGTTTGCAGATATTTGATTAATTCAACAATGCAGGTTAATTCAACAAATTTTATTTAATCAAATTCAACCGTGGTCAGCAAACTGTTCAACAAACTGTTCAATTAAATGAAATTTTTTTCATTTCATCATTTCTCAATTATTATTTCGAACACATGTCCACTAATTATTATATTGTAAAATAATTTGGATCCAGCCTTTAAATCGCCAAACTTGCTGTGTATTACTTTCAAATATAATAGAAAAAAAATTTAATTTTTCATTTGTTAAAAAATAATCGTGTAATCCTTAATCTTCTCTTATTAACTTTTTTGATATTTTTGATGCAGTACATATGGAGGAAACTAACCGTGTCCAAAACACCGGCGAGCGGCACGATGAAGCCATCTTCTCCCGCGCTCTGCACCGTCTTCTCCAGAGTTTTGAGCAACTGATCCACAGGGGCCCATTCTCCGCGTGCCGCCAGGCCCAGAAGCCTTTGGGCCCCTTCTCTGGCGGTCGCTCCGGCGGAGCTGGGCTTACTTCCGGGCTGCGACGGTTCTCCTGCAGTCGCACCGCCATTGCTTCCCGTCGAGGCTGAACCACCATCGTCCTTACCACCCGACGGGCTGTCCTCTTTGCTGGAAGGATTCTTCTTGTCGTCCTTGCCTCCTGATGGCTTCTTGTTGTTACTGCTCATGCTATGCTACGTATCCCTCCGCGTAGCATGATTCGTTTGAGTGACTCACTCTTGTTCAAAATTCCACACAATTGTTGAGGGTATATAGAACGAGAAATTATACGGCCGTCAGGCAGATACCTTTCCGTTTGGTGCGATGTATACGTGGCAGAATGGAAGATACGACGACGCTTACATTTAAGCGATTTTGAGAGCTACCGAGAAGTGAGACGAAACTTTATTTTATGAAAAGAAGAAAACAAACAATTTTGCATAGAATTGAAATTTATCATAAACGCGAAGAATGTATGCTTCAAATGTATTATCGGAATGATACATTTGAATCATTTAAGCCATTTAAGGAGATATTTTCATAGGAAATGCGAAGTAAGTTAAAGTCGTGATCAAACTAAAAATTGGATCGGAATTTAACTAATCAAAGCTTTAACCAATCAAAAGTTCATTAAAGTTGAGATTGATTTTCTTTCTTCTAATTGATTAAATTCCAATCCAATCTCAATTTCAATCTGTAATCGTATCATGGCTTAATTGAGCCCGCGGAACACAAACCAATGACATTACACAATGTTATAATTTCCTGCTCAATAATGTAATTGTTTTGTACAACAAGTATTATACATTTGTGTTGTTAAATGGAAAATTATAATATTAATGTAATGTTAGTTTGTGTTATGCGGAAAGTCACTGGAAATAATCGTTACGTTTAAAGCATTAATTTTCTCGCGAATTTGTAATATTTGTATAAAATAGCAAGTAATTGTATCACTGAAAATTCGATAAATATTCGTAATTATGCGCTTTAGAGTTTTATTAATTCCTGAAATATCCCCAGTTAACATTAATTAAAAGTAACATAATATCAATATTACAATTTTGCACTCAACAATGTAATTACGTAACATCACGTATTATTACATTTGTATTGTTAAAAAATTATAACATTAATGTTATGTCATTTTTCGTTGATGTTGACTAGGATCTCTACAAGCGCAAACTGCAAGAAGAAAATTAAAACTTAACCATAACGGCTCTTTCAGTGACTTCCGTTAGACTTCACGTTTTGTCTGAGAGTATTATCTTAACACAAGCGAAAAGTCCCTACAGTTGACGCACTAATTACTTTACTATTTAGTCAGTTGTATAGAATGAAAATGTTAACAGCACCAAATAAGTGTTAACTGCACGATCAGCCTGGCGATTCTGAAGACGGTATGTAACCCAGAGTGAGTTTAGAAGAGGCGAGAGAGGGTTGCTTCCCTTTGGGCCTCGCTCGCTCGGCAGAATCGACCAATCGCCGACTCGGTCTCGCGGTTCGTTAGGGTAACGTTGCACCAATACTTCTTTATCTTTGACCTGCACGGATTACATTTCGCGCACACAGGCGCAAATTCGTGATAGGCCGTGCTGGTCGTCGCTGGTAGCAGGTAAGGAAATCAAGCAGGAGGTAGTGGTTCAGGTGGAGGAAGGGTGAGAGTCGCGGAGGGGCTGTTATGGCTGCCGTCGACACGCGACTTCCGGACCAGCCCGGTAGGCACGCTATCCGTCTATCTTGAATCCACTAGACTCTGCCACGGCTCTGAATAACGTCCCTCATTCCTCTTCGCTTTCTCTTGCCCGAGACTAAACACTCGCTCGTGCGTAGTCTCTATTTTTTGCTCTCTCGACATGTTTTTTTTTTCTTCTAATAATGCGTATATTTTCCATAAACAGGAAAATGCGGTTAGGTAATTGTATGATATTTAAAAAATACCCATGAGCCAATTGATTCTGAATAATATCAAGGAACGTTTAACAAATATACATCTCGATATATTTTTTGTTTTTTTCAAAACAAAAAATATAAAAATCTTTTAAAAATTTTAAAAAAGTTTTTCTAAAAATATTTGAATTATTAAAAAAGTATAAAATTTACGTTACAAAATTTTTTTCTAAAAGATTTAGTTTTCATTTAAATATTATTTACAATGTTAGATCGTTGCTTATATGCGGATAGTTTCTCGTGCATTTACATGCTATTTATCTGTGCCGGATGACTGAAAGTGAATGTGATTTGAAACTATTTAAAGAAATTAATATATAATCAGCTGCTACGTATACTATGTCCCCTAAATTCAGCATAAAAAGCATCTAGTACTATATAGTTAATCGTTCTTTCCAAGGCTAATAATGCTGTTTAAATTGCTAATTATGTAGCAATAATGTATACTTGAATTATTTGAATTTAAATTGTCATTTGAATTGCAAGACGATTCCAAGGCAATTTCTATTTTAAGGCGATAAAACGAAACGGTAAAAACAATTTCGTAATGCCAGAAAAAAGTTGTTATTTGAATAAATCTATACTTCTATATATATATACTATAATAATTATTATAAAATATTATATGTATGTCGTATTTGATGTAAGTTTATTACAGTTAAATCGTTAATAATACTTAATTATTTAAATTTAAAAGATAATCGTCAAAAAAATACGACATATATGTTTCGTAATAATTATTGTACTACAACTTTTAATAAAATTAGAAATAAAAAAATTGATGCAGATTAAAATGTATCTTGGTATCTAATAATATTTCTGCATAAATTTTAAAAATATATTTTTCAATTGTTAATTAAATTGTTAATTAAAAAAAATTATTAATTTTATTAAATTTGAATTTAGTTCTATCTTAACATTTCTTTTGTTGGAGAACGTATTTAAGTTAAAAATATACAGAGTGTCTCACAACTACCGCATTTCCTCGTAAGGACTTATTCTTGAGATAATTTTGTGACAAAAATTCAAATATAAAAACGTCGAAGTTATAATAGAGTTTTTAAATTAATTGTAATTAAAATTTACTAATCACAGAGCTGACTCTTCGCACGTTTAAACATGACAAGTGATAATGGTATTACGAGAAGATAATAGTATCTCTCTTAAAGATATTATCATACATATAATATGCATAAAGATTTTATATATATTTAAAATGATAACAAAATTATGAAAAAAATTACAAATTATTTAAATCATATTTAAAAATAATACGACAAAAATTTGATAACGATTTCCAGATAACGATATCTGGATCATAAGTTATATAACAGTAGTATTTTTTAAATCTGTGTCTAATAAAAATATATGGAAATGTATTACATAAAATAAATGATAAAAATCTCAATTATTTAGTATATTTAATTAAATTAATTAAGAATTTAATAGTAATACATTTAAATAATTTCACGTCAAAAGTAATTTTTATCGATATTATCATAAACATATTTATAATACATATGTCACGAGACAAATTAATAGAGTTATGAATTTATTTTGACAGCTGATGATATGATATATATCATATGTATTCAAGATTATTTACGTAGAGTTATATTGCGATGCATAAACTAGTTGACCAGTAAATAAACAGAATATTTACTTGTTTTATATGTTTGTAACTAATCAATAAATTGCAATGAAATTTAATATCTACACTTCAAATAAACTATATACGTATGAAATGTGTTATTAAATAAGAATATAATTTTATCTACACAATTTTCATATGTATATAATTTATTTGAAGTTTTTTTTTGTACATATTAAATATACTTTCAAATTTAATTTTCTTCGCAGGGACTGTACATTTTAACATGCAATATTATTTTTCAGAACATTATTTCTGTTACGGTATAAAATTTATTTGTATGTTTTTACTTTTATTTATATGTATATATGCATAATTAAGATTATAAAATATTGCAAATTATTAATGTAAGATATTATGATATATATATCATAATATCTTACATTAATAATTTGCAGATATATATATCAGCTGATATATATATCATATATATGTCAGCTGTCAAAATAAATTCATAACTATGTTAATTTGTCTCGTGATGTATGTATTATAAATATGTTTATGATAATATCGATAAAAATTACTTTTGACATGAAATTATTTAAATGTACTATTAAATTAATAATTAATTTAATTAAATGTACTAAATAACTGAGATTTTTATCGTTTATTTTATGTAATACATTTCCATATATTTTTATTAGACACAGATTTAAAAAATACTACTGTTATATAACTTATGATCCAGATATCGTTATCTGGAAATCGTTATCAAATTTTTGTCGTATTATTTTTAAATGTGATTTAATTAAATAATTTAATTAAAATAATTGTAATTTTATTATCATTTTAAATATATATAAAATCTTTATGCATTTTATATGTATGATAATATCTTTAAGAGAGACACTATTATCTTCTCGTAATACCATCACTTGTCATATCGTCATGTTTAAACGTGCGAAGAGTCAGCTCTGTGATTAATAAATTTTAATTACGATTAATTTAAAAACTCTATTATAACTTCGACATTTTTATATTTGAATTTTTGTCACAAAATTATCTCAAGAATAAGTCCTTAAGAGGAAATGTGGTAGTTGTGAGACACTCTGTATAATGTTTTTAACTTAAATATCTTCCCCAACAAAAGAAATGTGTTAAGATAGAACTAAATTCAAATTTAAAATTAATAATTTTTTTATCACTGTATATTATAGACGTCATAGCGCAGTGCGTATATTTATATATTCTTTGATCATATAAATAATAGCATTGATTTTGGATACAAAAGTAAATGGAGTTAGTTAACGATATTATGTCAATAATAATGCCGATATGATCATGTTAACAACTTTTCGCTTATCTTCATTCATATTTACTCTATGGCATTATCAGTGTATTACGAACGTCGTGCTAATGATGTGTTGACAATATCATCAGTTAAAGGAAAGCGTTCTCTGCAGTGGTCGGTTTCGGTTATTTCTATTCGCAATATATTCTGTGCTAAACGCACTAAATCATTAGACGGTGTTTCCTAATTTATTCCACAACTGTTTTGTGCACTTCCGTTTATGTATGTATATGTGATAGATAGAAAGAAAAGCTTGATAAGATTGATTAGAAAGCTTGATTAGATTGTGTATTAATGATAAAAAGATTATTACATCAACTTATGTAATATGTGGATAGTTACATAAGTTAGTGATTCTTTTACTTTTCTTTTTAAGCAAAATTCGACTTATTTTTAAACATAGTCTGCTTTTAAAAAGTCACTGATTAAAAAATACTTTTTTGTTACTGAGGGGGTGCATTTTTTCTTTTGTCTCAAGCGCAGAAATGTCTAGTCCCGTCTTTGTTAATATAATAAGTTATCAATTTATATACAGAAAAGATATATCATGTTAATAAGGCAAAAGAAAAAATGCATTCCCTCAGTAACAAAAAAATATTTTCTTTTACGGCGTATAAAATATAATAAAGAATAATAATAATATTTAATATTAATTTAATATTAATATTAATGTAATAGAAACATAATTACATATGCGTGTCATCATTAAAAAGTTACAATAGTTTTTTTTCGATGGATTTCAGAACTCAGTCTTGCTCATAAAACAATTGAACATAAATTATTAGATTTAAGTAAGAATCAATCACTCGGCAAAGCAAGCTATTTCGCAACCTATCAGAAAAGAGTGCTACAATTTTCTAGTTAATAAATGTAAAGTAGGCGTTTTTTTTAAATAGATTTTGGGTCACTGAATTCAAATTCATAAGCTATTTTGCTTCATTGCTACATCCAATTTTTTAGATAATTTTTAAAGAAGAATAATAAAAAATGTGTGAAAATTAAAAATAGAAAATATTTGAGAAAAAACAAAAATAAATATATCATTAAAATGCAGTAGAACTAATTTAAATTTATTTTGATAAGTCAAATAAAATGCAAAAAAAACAATTTTTGCTGTGTCATTCAGCGATTCGGTCGTCGAGATTCAAGCAAAGTGAAAAGAGTTATAGTTATATATTCCTCTCAGAAATCGGACCAAAAGAGTTGCATCTCATGCCAATACTGCTCTATTGTAAAAGTGCGAGTAATAATTGGAGTCTCAATAACTTCTAAAGTATCTTATAAAATAATAAAATATTCTTTAAAAACTTAAAAATATTTGCATAAAAATAGCAAAAACAACTAATTAATTTGTCAATTTTCTAACTTATCTCAAAAATAACACTTAAAATCTATTTCTGTAAAAACCTTCTATGCAATTTACCTGAATGTCGTACAATGTTACTTTACATCAATTTATTTTATATGCATGTTAGATTATAATACCTAATATTATGTTATATATTAGTAAAGCAAAATTTTTTTTATTTTTTACACTTTATTTTATTACTTATCAAAATATATTTAAATAAGTTCTTTCTTAATTCATATTTTAATGTCATATTTATTTTTGCTCTTTCTTCAAATGCTGCTTTCAATTTTCATAGATTTTTCATTATTTTTTTCGATTATGTACACAAATTACACGTGATTATAAAGTAAAATGACTTATAAATTCATATGTAGAGCATTTAAAAATTCATAATACACAAACCTTGTATAAGCATAGAATTGTTTTATTCATTAAAAAATGAAGAAGAAAATTATAAACATAAGCAAACACAGTTTATATGTTTAAAAATCATCCATTTCTAAGTTATTAAAAATACTTTCTTTTATTGTAAAAGATATTTTTAATATATCTACAATTAGCATTCTTTCTTCAGTGCTCGTATAACTCCTAAGGATGCATTCTGTTTCACGATGTGGATAATGCATCATTTATCCTTGTTTAACAAGGTGAATAACAAGGATAAATGATGCATCATGATGTGTGAAACGGAATGTACTCTGACTAAACTCTACAAACATATAGTTAGTTTCAATAACAATCGTTTCAAAATTTAAAAATTATTGTTATGTTATCTATATATGATAAATCTGGTACTTGTTCAGTTGAAACAGACACATACTTATAGTGAGTAAAAAGACTTTGTGCTATATTTCTAAAAAAAAGTTTATTTCTATATATATAT